TATAACTATTTATCATAAAACAAAAAATATTACATCATTTATGATGTGTAAATAATGCGACGACGAGGTTCCTTCATTATGTATATTAATAATGTGTGCTGAATTATATATATCATCATCAAAATACAACATGTTGTCACACTTTTGAATTTTGGTTCAAGTAAAACATAAATGTATTTCACATTTTCATGTAACGTTTTTTTTACTGTTAATTAGTAATGTTCACTTTTTGTTACTACATAATTTTTATTACCAAATACAAATATTTAAAATGACTTTATTGAAATTTTAATATAATCTGGTTGGTACATATATATATAGTACTCATCAAAGTATCAATCACCACAATTTCCACCTGGTCCTCCAAATGAAAAGGCTTCTCCAGTGGATATGGTATAACTCCAATATGTCACCCTGAAGCAACTGTAGGACTTCAATATCTATCTATGGCATAGCGTCTTAATTTTTTACCTTCAATATAAACTTTTTTATAGTCAGAGTTTATAATGACCACGTTTCTAAAATGTGCTGTCTTTTTAAAATCTGCAACCGGAAAATGTCCATTTCCCATCGGAGGACTAATTCCGTCTGGAGAGATAAAAAATATTTCCTCCATATCTCACTAGAGAAACTCCTTTATTCAAATGTGTAAATAACTCTTTAGGCCAATAACCTATTACTTCATCAAATATTTTAAGTCCCCAGTTTCCGCTGAAGCCATCCTAATACATATAAAGAAAAATTAAAGTTAAGAAATAAACTACTTCGAAAAGTATCTGAAAGGTCAAAAAAATGTTGACATGATCTAAATAAAATTGAAATTTATATTTTCTTAAAAATTAATTATAAGGAACATACCTGAACAACTTGCGTTCTAAACAGAACACTTGATTTACCATAGATAGATGTGCCCCAAAATTGATTTCCAATTCTAGGATTTCGACTTGTAACCACGAACCCAGGACATTGTGTATTGTAACACCCTGTTTTATGATAACCATCTCCCTATTTTTTAAAATACATATAAATCATGATGTTACGTAAATAAAAATAGTAGATTCATTTGGTCTTGTTTTTATTCTAGACTAATTATTGTTCATATATGAATAGAAATAACTAAAAACTACTCACAGTCCAATATATTGTAAATCGTGTGACACTATCACCGTATAATCTTGGATGTACCTGAAATAAAATAAAATTACAACATATAATTAGATATGCATGTAAAATTTCAAATTATGAATTTTCATATGAACATATAAATACGTTTGCAACTTATATGAGTTATATGTTACAAACTTAAACGTCACATAATTATAAATGAAATGTAAAATGTTTAATAAGTAATTGACTGCATTTACTTACCGCCCAACCAGCTTGTATACTATTGAGTTGACCTGGAGGTCCATTCTCAAACCACATTTGACTTTTACTGTATTGATTATTTCGCAAATTTAAATTGTGAATACTTATTTCAGCTTCGGCTCCTCGATAGATACTTCCATCTAACATTGTCTCAATTGTTGCAAACTGTAAATTTTGTAAATACATTTGTGAGTGCATGAATAACAATTGAAACTCCTCATTTTGCTATTTTTTTAGTTTAGGTAACAAATATGTTATTCAAAATCTTAACTACTAAATGAGACTTTTTAAGAAAACCATTAATAAGCGGAAGACTTACATGTTGACCAAAATTCTCGGCTGTGTTCAAATGAAAACTCTCAGATTCATTTCTCTGTCGTAAAATTGGAACCATTCCTTCTGGACACTGCTCTTTTGTTTCATCTTCGTTGCTTCTTTCAAGATTCTCATGCGAGCTGAATGTTTTCTGTATATCACAAGTAACAAAATATTAAATCACAAAATGTATATTGATTTTAATACACATTTTGAATTTTTTTTTCTTTACGCTATTTACCTGAATTTTATGATTTTTCAACAATGGATGTTGAAAAGCCGGTTGTTTGTATATATCAACACAATCAAAATCCTGTAAATTTGTTCGAACACAAGTTAGAAATTTTTTTTTTAATTTTATAATGAAATCGTTTAGAGGGCATAACTAAGAAAAGGAAGTTAGAGAGCCTCACATCAATGTTTCCTTCAGCACCATGTGTAAATAGCAGATAAACACATAGACCTATCGCTAGATGTAATAATGCCATTGATAAGTTAATCTTGGTTTCTCTCTAATTATATCTATGATACTTTCAGTGTATATATACACCAATTCGAGTCAACGACTATTCAAATCAGTGCTATAATTCCTTGTGCTTTTATTATCTTACCAAATATATCATATGCATAAATATATTCTTGCTCAACATTCAAACGTATATTTTTTAATGCTAAGAAATCATGATTGTAGCTATTTTAGGAAATTACGTGAATAGAAAGATTATAATTTGAGAAAATGACAAACAATTTGCTAAATAGTCAATACACATAAAACGATCCCAAATTAGGAAAATAAGTTAATGGGTCATAATTTGAAGAAGAGAGATTTGATACAATCACCTAAAAATAATATTAAAAATAGCAAAATTACCTACCAAATTTGTTAAAGATTTTTTGTTTTATAAACGATTTCCTATATTAAAAGTTATATTTATTTACTTCTTCCAACCTAAGTA